ATTGTTCTGAGGGGGAGGAACCGTAGGGTAAAAACAGTGGCTACAGGAATAAAACTATTTGAGTTTTGAGTAAAAAAGAAAGAAAAAACTAAACCAAATTTTGGCAATACTCTCAAAACCCTCTATCTATCTATCTATCTATCTATCTATCTATCTATCTATCTATCTATCTATCTATCGATATAGATATGCGACCACTATCGCACGTCCCTCACTCTCAAACCAGCTGTTCCCATCTTCATCCCTTGCCCCGAAAATTGTGCTTACCAACAGACTAGACTAGACTTATTTCAGAATGATTATGTGCCAACTGTTTTCTTAATGGCTCTGAGAAGATGTAATAAAAGCAATAATAAAAGATTAGTAGCCAAGAATATAATGTACAAAAAAGTAAAGCATAGTTCATAGCATTAAAAGCAAACGTTAAGAGGCTTGTTTCAATCTGAATTACAATTTGCCCATAATGTGCGCCTGCAAGAAGCATGATCATCAAATACGGTCACTGTGGAACCACAGAAGGTGCCTTGTTGATGACCTTAGGGTGCAGCTCAAGCTATATGGGAACAATGATTCTGTAAGTAGCTTGAGTCTGAGCAATTGCTATGGCCCATGCAGGGATGGGGGGAGATTTTTGCCTCCCAAAGGTTAATAAACTACTTTTCATTCCAGGGACTGTTACACTGTTGTGTTTTCCAGTCTAGAATAGCACAGCTATTTTTTTTCTGAAGTGTTTTGGCTTTGGTGGGCTCAATTACCATCCTGGTACAATGCTAGGAGACAAGCTGGCCTCTACGAAAGGATAACAGGGTAAAGGAGGCCAAACCTCAAGGGGAGGAAGGGGGAGCTTTTTCTTAAACTTCAGTGAAACTTTAGTGTCTCATGCCACATCACTGACATTTCCTTTTGTATTTATAGGAATAGGTTCTATATGTTTTAAACACAGTAATTGATATAATTAGCCAAGAGTAGTGTGATCTTTAATATGTTTGAGCTGTAAACATTATCTTTTCCTTTTAGGAGCTGTTTGTACAGTATTTAGCTACTAATTCCTACAAGCATGGCCAGGGCAAGGAGCACAAAGCCCTAACATATACTGACCTTTCACAAACTGTAGAGAATTCTGAAACTTTCCAGTTCCTTGCAGGTAGGTCTTTACATTGCTGGTAACATAACTAGGGTGAAATAATCACTAAAATGGGGAAAGGGGACTGTGGAATGTTCGATTTCAGTCTTTATAAGCTGTTAAGACTTTCAGGCTATATTTTTATTTATTAATGGGAGATGAGCAGGCAAGTGGTCAAGAATCCCAACCCTTGTTCACTTTTTTTTTTTTAACAGTTGAAGTTGAGAGTTTTTTCAGATATAGCCGAGTTAAGGATTAAGTTGATGATCCACTTTGCTGGGAAGCTTAGTGGGTGCTCTGAGGCCTTTTTCTCACCAACCTCCTCAGGGTTGTTCTGAGGATAGGCAAGAGAACCTTATATTAGCTGTTTTGTACTTAATCTTAGAAGGCATTTGATAGTTGGTATTAGCACCTTTCTAGATTTCCTCCAAACCATAGTAGCTAGAGAATTTGTGTAGGATCTTTTTATACCATTGTTCTTCTCCTTGGGATTATTAAGTCTCATCTTGCCTCTGTGGCTGTTTTATAGTTGGTCTTTATTACAGTAGATCATAATTGAGAAAGACCCTGCAAGAAAGAACTATGCTCCTTTTAGTCTTACTGTGTCCTAAATGGATCAAGGTATGAACATCACTCTAGAAACATGATTGATTTGATTGCTTACAATGAAAGTTTGAGAATTCATGAAACGTACAAGGGTGGTAAGCGATTCTAAGTGTGGGACAGACTGCAGGCTACACAGACCATAGGCAACTGAGCAGGGACTGACTGGGCTGCTGTCTTCATGGCCAGGTGTCCTGACTTCTGACTGGTGTTTAGCTGAGCTGGTTTCCCATTGGTGCAGGTCGGTGAGGGCTGGCCCACCTTGCCTCTGAAGATGCCAGCTACAGTTGCCAGCAAAATATCAGGAAATCTATTTTCTAGACCAGTCATTAAACCTGGAGCCCGATCCTGCCCAGCAGATACTGGCTGTGAAAGCCTTCATCAATATAGTGGAACAGACTGTTATTTTGTAGTGTCAGGAGTGGATCTGGAGAGAAAATGGATGTGGGAAAAAAGAAAAGAGGTGAATGAAATGAAAGTATATGAATGTAGCAAAGGAAAAAGCAAATCCTGTCTGAAAAAGAATTAGTAGATTAATCTTCCAACAGCATGAATGGAAATTAGATGTATGGAAAGAGGATGTGGAAATTCCTTGGAGCAGAGTAAATATTACAGAGAAGTATGTGGAGTTATGCTAATATGAAGTATGAAAAAAGATCTTTGATGGAATGATGAAATGAAAGGGACTCTGGATAAGAAAAAAGTGCTTATGAGAGAATGATAGCAAAAAAATGGGGATGATAGAAAGATATTGTTTCGTGGATATAAGAGAAAAATATAATTGCAAAGAATGTAATCAAAGAGAGCAAGAAAATTTTAGTATTAAAAAGACAGAGAAATGCAAAGTAATTTTGACAGAAATAAATATGTTTTGAAAAGTGGATGAAAAGGGCTAAACAAGGAATCTCCAGCAAGGTGCACAGAATTAACAGTAGAAGCTGAAATTATTTTTGATGGAATTAAAATAAGGGAGCGTTGATAGTTTTAAAGATGTGCAGAACAGATTTTTGCTCTTCAGCACATCATTTAGAATTATATGAATATGAGAAAGTTTATGCCTGTTGATTTAGAGAAAGTGTGTGAAAAGGCGAATAGGTTGGTATTATGAAAGATTGTGCACAGATATGGAACTGAGGATGGTTGAATGTAGTAATCATGGAAGTAAATGCTTAGCAAATGGCCTAACATTCAGCCAGGAACAAGATAATGATACAGGATGTCCCTTTGATTATTTAATTTATTTGTAGCTAAATCCACAAAGACTGCTTGTGATATTGTTAGAGATGTGTTGGTTGGGGACATGAATGTATATCAACGCCAAGTTGTCTGAGAATTGAAATTACTTGCAGTCATTATTAGGTAATATGATGCAACAAAGAGTAAAAATCTGAAAATTAATGTATCACAGACTGAAGTAGAGAAAATGGAGTTTAGATTATAGAGCAAGTATGATAAATTTGTGTACCTTGACAGAAAGTTTACTGAAAATGGGGAAATAGATGGAGAAAGTTTAAGATATACAGATAGTCCTCGCTATCTGGCCATTCGTTCAGCAACCGTTCAAAGTTACGATGGCACTGAATGAAGGAACTTATGATGTGACCCAAAGTTATGGTGATCTGGGCCCTTGGCAATCGGTTCGCCCTTACGACCAGTTGCCAAGCACCCCACGATCATGTTATCACTATTTGCAATCTTCCCTACCGCCAGCTGGGAAAGTAGCCAGCAGGGAAGGTCGCAAGCTGCTGATGCCTGTCAAGGACTCCCTTTCGTGTCTGAGGGCTGCCTGAAAAAGCTCCATGCCAAAATC